TAAGGTCCCTTCCAACACAAACTAGTCTTTTATTTTTAAATTAAAATCTCTGTGTAGGGCTTTAAAAGTGATTTATTTGCATCCCTCTCTTACCAAAGCATGTTGTGCAGTTCTGGGGGTGCTGACATGGTGTGTTCTGTAGTGGGGCTGGTGCTTCCCACCCTGCCCTGTCCTGTCCTGCCTTGCAGGGAGCCGAGTACCAGCTGCGCCTCTCCCTTTTCGATGCCACCTACCACCACTTCTTCGGCAGGACCTGGAGGAGCAGCCTGCGAGCTGCCCGCGCTGCCCCGCCGCGCCTGGCCAGGGCAACGTTCAATGAGGTGGGTGCCAGGGGCTGCGTCTGTGCTGGCTGTGCCTGGGAAAGCACCGTCAGACCCTGGGAATGGGCAGTGATCCATCAGGGAATGGATGGAGCTGCAGGAGCAGGGTCTGAGGAGGGAGGTTTTTAATGCACAAAGGGAAAAGCTGCTTTTGCTGGAGTGGAGGCTGGAGCTGCTCTCCTTTGGTGCTGGTTTACTTCAGCAGTCTGGAGCTCTGGTGTCCCACCATCAGCATGCTGTAGCCAAGAGTCTTTAAACGCAGTGAGTCTGAAGCGTGCGCAGGCTCTGTCCCTTGGTCTGTCTGCTTCTGATCCTTGTCTGCAGTAGTCTGCTCCCCTGCATGCAGGCAGCAGCTCAAACCCTTTTCCCTCCTGGCACTACCCAATCCTTTGCCCAGGCTGCACCCAGGCGCTGCCCAATTATTAAGCTTTAATGGAACGCTTTATTAGGCTTTATTTAATGGAAAACTTTATTAAGCGTGTGCTGGAACGGGGAAACTGGGGTGTTGGGTTGCTTCCAGGGCAGCATCGGGGCAGTGGTGTGCGGCCTTGTGCTGCCTGCTGCATTCCGGGCTGGCAGCAGAGCGCAGTGTTTCTTCACAAGTGGGAAGGAAGGGACGGAGCAGCCACCCTGTGGCACAGCACTTCCCTCTCCTGGCTTGGGAACTAAACTCATCCAAAGCCGCTGCTGATAGCGGTAAGCTGGGATGACCCCTTCATGGGGAGACCCCATGGCCCTGTAGTGTGGAGAACAGCTGAGATGCTGTGTTTTCTGACTTATAACTTCTCTTTCTCCTACCCAGCACTGCAGGTGAAGTTTAGCACAGTTAGTGCTGCATTCCTTCATTTGCTTGTATCAGTAGTATCTGAGGGGCGTTGATGTGTGCATTTCTTCCCCAGGAGTTTTAATTCTCATCTGACCACTGCTTTTTTGATGAGGGGTGGAGAAAAACTAGGGGAGAGAGAGCATGGTGGCATGGCTCCTGACTTGGCTGGATGCTGGGTCCAACTGCCTTTCCAAGCACTGTCCCTGTGTCCCAGGCTTCCTGGGGTTTGGTGTGGCTTTGGGAGCAGGAGCTCAGGGTGTGGGGTTGCTGCCTGCACACTTGGCAGCCTCACTGGATGAGAGGGGTGTGTGTCGGGCCAAGGTAACCCTGGTGCTGCATCGTCCTTGTGGGGTTTGGAGGAGAGGAACGTGCTGTCACAAGCCACTGCTGGTGCTCACAAGGGGACAGTGAGCTTGGTTTTACAGGGATCTGCTGCAAGGGCTCCCTGGCTCTGCAGCCAGCAGTCATTATTTCAGTGTTTTGCAATAAAAGATAATAGAATAGCGATTTATTTCCTGGGTTGATGGGGTAATGTCTCTCTCTGTTATCCCTTCCTGACAGCCTGTGATTACAGTAAACGTTTTCCCTGGGACACTGCGGTAATGAGTCTTTAATAGAAAGATTAACCTAGCTTTAAATCCTGTCCTGAGGAGGTGACCTGTGTCCTGTCCCCTCCTGCCTGCAGGTCCAGGCCACCCCTGTCTCTGCTCCCCACAGTGGGTTGGGGGTATTCGGACTTCTTTGGCTGTCCTGGTGTGGGGCTTGCTCTGTTTTTACTGGCTTTGCAGCCTGTGACTTACTCTGGAAAACAGGTGCTAGCAACAAAAAAAGGAAGGGGAAAAAAGTCAGTGATGTTTGAGGTTTAAGGAGTTGATGTTTCTGAGCAGTGCTGGGGTCATTTGCCAGGAGCCACTGTCTGGGGGTTTTAATGGATGTTCTAGTTACACTCTTGGCTGTCCGAATGCCACAGGCTTTGCTCTGCAGCAGCCACCACCAGCTCTGCAATACCCTTTCCTTCTCCTTTCCCACCCCAGGCCATTTACTTCCACACCTCCTTGAACCACCCTGGCATCGCCGCCGTCGTGGAAGTGGTGGCAACGACCAAGAAAGGGGATGGGAGCTCTCAGCATCTCTCCTGTGGCTTTGGAGTCATCCCCCTCTTTGGCAGTGGCTCAGAGGCAAAGGACCAGGCCACCAAGGACAGAGTGTGGGTGTCATTGCCTTAATGGGGGATGCCAGGCATCGGGGTGGCAATGTGTTTGGCTGCTTTGTGGGTAGAAAGGGTGGTCCTGGGGCCGCACAAACAAAGCCAGTGTTTAGAAACCTGGAGTTCTTCACTGCTGGGGAAGCAGCGGTGGGTTTGTGATGCCTGCCCTTTCCCTAAAGGACATGGTTTTAGCTTGGGTACAGAGTAGGCGGGTGGTTCCTGTGAGCAGAGGCATTATGGAAGAGGGAGGTGTGCCTCAGGGTGGATTTATTGACAGCTCTGTGTGTGCTCTTTGCTTTCAGGCTGAAGCTGTACCATGGGACGCCACGTGCCCTGCTGCACCTGCGCTTCCAGGAGCCCATGGAGAGTAAGCAGCAGCAGGACATGGTGCCTTGATCCTTCCTTGATGGTCTCTTATCCACATGAGTTTTGATATTATACGTGGTCCATAGGTAGTGCTAAGTGGACTTGCCTTACTGCCAGCTGGGAAAAGCCTGGCTGGGCAAACCCAGGTTTTCCTTTGCTCCCAGCATGTGTATTCATGGATAACTTCTTCCACAGTGGTGCCATGAAGCTGTCTCCACATCTTTGATCATTTTGGGATGTTTTTCTTCTTCAGAGAACAAATACTTGACGGTGATGGAGAAGAGCCACCTGCAGTACACCCTGAAGCCCCACCAGCCTCTAGAGACAGTATTTCACCTCCTTCCCGAAAACCTTCTGGTGTCTGGGCTGCAGAACATTCCCGGCTTGCTGCCGGTGTGCGGAGACATGAGTAGGGGCTCCTTCTTTTTCCCTTTTGGCTGCGG